CAATCACTTATAGAATAGAACAGAATAGAAGTGTCGGCACTGAAGAAATAGGCCCATGGCCTGTTGCCGATTCTTGAATTTTTCGTGACTTGATTCACAAGGGATCTAACCTTTGGAACCAGATCTTTCCATAACTGACAATTGATTGAGATGGCTGCTAGACTTATTGCCTGGTCCGTAATTTGCTAGACATTTTAAGACTGGACATATGCTCCTGCATAGCTTCGTCTAGTCTGTTCTTGAAGGCGTTCATACTCGGAGCGTCAACGATGCTATCAGGGAGGCGGTTCCACATGTCGGTGACTAGAAGCGAGAAGAAATGTTGTCGCATGGATGTGTTACAACGCAGTTTTTCCAAAGCATTCGTGGTGCAAGTGTTTCTACAAGTCACCTATGTGAAAAACAAGCAACGGAATAAAATTTCAACTACGGTACTGGAGTCCCTTATTCGGACCAAAAGCTATCTGCTCAGCCGCAACAAGTGATCACACCCGAAATGTTAGATTAATGCATTATGCAAGCATGTACGTAAATAAGCAAAATGAAGATGACCAGTTTCCGTGGCTTGCTCATGTTGAGCGAAGAAGAAAAAGTGCCACCATGACACTGATAAAAAAAAAGGAACAAGTGTCAATGTAATCAAACACAGGAAAAGAAAACTGTCAAAATGTTCCAAACAGAGGGGAAAAAATATAGCGTGTTCAATTTGGCTAATTATCGTACTGCACAGTACATAAGGTAATTTTTTTTCTAACCAACGTTTCTGACGAATAGTTTTATAAAATTTGGAAGTATTAGTCTTTTTTTGAATGATAGAATTTCTGGTATATTTATGGTATTTTGAGCTAGGCAATCTGGTATTCTCGCCAAGAAAAAACCTGGCAACACTGGTGGTTAGTGACTTAGTGCCACCAGGTAGAGGTTAGTGTCTCCAGGTGAGTGGTTACTGGTTAGTGCCCCAGGGGCCAGCCTGCCAGGTGAGTGGTTACTGCCTACTGGTTAGTGTCCCCAGGTGAGTGGTTAGTGCCCCCAGGTGAGTGGTTTGTGCTCCAGGTAGTGGCTAGTGTCCCCAGGGCCCAGGTGAGTGGTTAAAGCCCCAGGTGAGTGGCTAGTGAAGTGTCCCCACTCCCCAGGTTCCTGAGCCTGGAGTGGGGCCTTCTGCCCTGTAGTGGGGCTTTCTGCCTTGGAGTGGGGCTATCTGCCCTGGAGTGGGACTATCTGCCCTGTAGTGGGGCTATCTGCCCAGTCTAATTGACTGCCCTGGAGTGCAGGAGTTGGGCTTTCTGCCCTGGAGTGGTGCTCTCTGCCCCAGTGTGGTCTCCACTTTAGTGGCCCCATTCTGTAGCCCTTCAGCGGTTCAGCCATTGAGAAATCTTGAGTTTTTTGAAGACACCTAATTTTGTACCTGAAAACAAAATTCAGTTAAATTCCTTGAACTGTTCTCAGTGTTCTGCCATGCTGCCATGGGGCTGCATTGAACCAGTTTACAGAGGCTCCCATAAATTCCAATTAAAGAAAAAGGGCTGGCTTTACCAGCGGCTAAGCAGCCTAGGTAGTAGGTACGTACTGGGTATTAGGGTCCATAGAGCACAGAGATGTAGGATGCCTTCAGTTATAGAAAATCAACCTATTCAATTTCAACCCGGCATTTTAGAGCTGCTTCATAATTTGTCATTAAATTCATTTAGTTTATTGTAACTTTATTTTGTTTCATTACTTTCCTATATTACCTATATCAGTTATAATCAGTATATGTCAATATCTTAAAGCTGAAGGCAGTGAGAGGCACTTGCCCCATGTAAATGATGTGAGCATTGCCTGGTGCTAATGGCATAGAAGGATTTTTTTTCCCTTTCTTGAGTTCATTTTTGATTTGTATAACAATAAGTAGCCTGGGTCATTCCATGCTATTGCCCATTGCCAAGTGGTCTAACCCTCTCCACCATCATGTTCTCCAATTTTCTTCAAATTTTAACTGTAGCACTAGTGAAGTGCTAAACTAAGTTTTCCAGAATATAAGGCCTCTAGCTGCAATAGTTGCTGATCTAGACGCCCTGATCTGAAGCCAGTCTGTATAGTATGGCCTTTCAGCTCAAGATATTAGCTTGAGGCTCATTTTGGGATGTTTGCCAGCATGTCAAGAAAACAAGTAACCAGTATATTTGCTAGAAAAACTAAAGTGCATCTCTGACTGATGCCTGATGATCGATACTGACGCATGCCTCATGATCGATTTGGCCAATGCCTGATAAGGATGCACGCACTTGCATGATCGATGCAGCTGTTGCTCAATGATCAACATAGATGCCTACGCTTTATGATCAATGATTGACATGCATGCACGCATTTTACAATTGATGTGGCTGTCGCTCACGCTTCGTGGACAATGCGGTATGATTGACATGGATGCACACATTTTACAATTGATGTGGCCTATGCCCAATGATTGATTCCGACACTCCACGAACGATGCGGCATGATTGACACGGATGCAGGCATTTTACGATCGATGTGACCAATGCCCAATGATTGATTCCAACATTGGCACTTTGCAAGCAATGCGGCATGATTGACATGGATGCACTCATTTTACGATTAATGTGGCCGATGCCCAATAATCGATTCTGACGTTCACGATTTGTGAATCTTGGTCTGCCATGATCATACCTAGGCATCTTTGGGGCAAGAAAGTTGGCATCCTCAACTTATGTTGTGCCAGATTGCTTCTTTTACTGTCCAGGCTCATGCTACAACTTCCTGCCTTGGGGCGACATGGATGCATCTTAAAAGCTCCCATTAAACGACAACTAGAAAGAAAAAGAAGGATGTAGGACGTAGGAGTTTGCAGCTGAAGCTGAACTATCACATTAAGAATTAGTTAGATTGGTTCTCTGCCTAGGGGCTTTGGGCCTAAATGGAAATAACTCTACTTTAGATGGATTTGTATGCCTGTTAATGAACTTTGCTGGTGGGTTAGGCAGCAAAATTTCCACTTATTCTGCAGGATGCACAAAGAAATAAATGAATTAAAATAGAACTCCACAGTGCAATCCGGCATAACTAAAAGAAACGGGATATTAGTTGTATTAATATGCCTGTTCAAACTATGTTGCATGCTTTTTAAGCAAAAAATTGCCACTATATCAGCAGATAGTTGATGCCTAACAATCCAATCTAGAAACTTCAGATTGGGCAATAGCTGCTACCAATACTCTTCAATTTATGCTTACTATGAGACTATGAGCAATGTTATAACATTCTTAGTTATTAGCTTTAGTTTAACTGACTAGAATTTGTGGTTGTGGATGGATGCTAACACTTATAATGCTATTTATGTATTTTCTACTAGCAAGGTTAGCAATAACCAAATGCCTAATTTCAGAAATTTGAGGTGAGCAGAAGTGTAGAATTGACCTTTTTGTCTTTGTAAAAATTGCTTCAGTTTACCTTAAATTCATTCTTATTCTTTGATCCTTCACAGATAAGTTCACAGGTATTTTGTTCCTTGAGAGGAAAAAACTCCCTCATTTACTTTATTAATTTTTCTTGATTAAAGTGGTCAGAAAACTGAAAAAAGCTTCAGGCTGTGCCAGCAGCCAGACATGGAATATACCTAGGTATCTATCTAATTTCTGAGCCACAAATTGAGCTTACTCACTATTTTAGTAGCTATAAGATTCCTGCCTAAATTTGCAATGTATGACCTTTGGGTACCGTTAAATGGGTAACTTTGACCACTTTTTTTTCAAAATGACGCCATTTTTTTTACTAGATAAGTTAAACTTAAATTGAAACATGCAAAATACAGGTCTATACTCTAGCTTTACTCACCATAAATTGCTGGCTCCTGCCTCTCATAGTTTTGATGTAATTTCAAAAAAAGTGATGGTCTTTGTTACCCCAGCTCTTGGGGTTTCTTTGATGGGGTGGTAAAATCAATTTTATTTTTTGGTAAAATAACTTCAAATAACTCCAGGTTTTGGTGCATTGTAGTAGAACTCTTCTAGTTACACATGCAAATGACAAATTTGTGGGAAGTGTCATAGTTTGCAAATTGGGGGAGCTGCCCCCCAATGGGCGAAATGTGACCACCTAATGGCAGCCGTGACAAGGTAACATTGACCAGCTTGGAAATTAAGTTAAAATTACCATATATAAGACTCTGTAGAGTCTGAAACAAAGAAAAAAGCATTTATAGGTGTATCAAACATAAAATATGTTATATAGGTGCCTATGGTAATTTCAACTTGATTTCCAAGCCGGTCAATGTTACCCTGTCACGGCTGCCATTAGGTGGTCAAAGTTCCCCCATTGGGGGGCGGCACCCCCCATTTGCAAACTATGACACTTTCCTAAAATTTGTCTTTTGCATATGTAACTAGAAGAGTTCTACTACAATGCATCAATACAAAATGAGTTATTTTACCAAAAAATAAAAAAATTGGAGGGGGTACTCTGACAGGCTTTAAATAATAGCTCTTTTTTGTGGGTCACATTATTAATTTTTTAACCTATTAGATGCAAACTTTTTAAATCTCTCTATTGTGTTACGTAGCCTCAGTATTAGGCCTTTGATGGCCATTGACAAAATTTTTCTATGTCAAATCGTTTTTGAGTTTTGGGTGTTTTTGTTAAAAAAACAAAAAGTGGTCAAAGTTACCCTGCCGGTCAAAGAAACCCCATTTTATGGTATAGGTTACTATAATGATAATGTGCAATGGAGAATCTTAAGTGTGATTCATTTTGAAGTCAGACACTTTAAGTGAACTTTAGACAAGATAATTTATGAAGGCAGTTTTTCATCTGACATTCATGTGATTTGGAAAAAATCTTCCTGGTATTCTATTCATGTTTATGATAATCTTTAGCTTATTTTATATACTGTACTGAAGCTCTTAGTCAGGCCTTTCAATTTGACTTTTATAATAATGTATGAATGAGGTAGTATTTGTTCTATTCTGAAATATATTACCTTTAACTATCTCTTCTTTATATTTCCAGGTGACTCATAATTATGTTGGGATAAGAGACTATACCTTCAATAATAATTTCTTACCAAAAATTTGAAAGTTACTAATTAAAGAAGCTATTCAGTAGTTGATTAGTAATTGGGTTGCTGTTTTAAATAATCCAGCAGTATGATTCCTAGAGGTGTAAGTTTTTCAGTTCTAAGAGATACTTTTGTTCAATGGTCCTCATCAGCTAGACTCAAACATTCACATTTCTTGCTTGGATTTCCTCCTGAGAAGTATTTCTTGGGAAATTCACAGGTAACTTATGATGCTTGACATATAAAAATTGTATTGGCTTATTCATTACTATGATTACTATGATATGAGATATGAGCTATGTACATTGTAAAGATAATATCTAAGATCACAAGTTTTATTTTGATGATTATGTTGTATTTTTCTAATAGTTCAGTAACTTCCCAGTGAAGAATAATTTCCAATAGCTATGAAACTCATGATTTTGTAATTATTTTTAGTGCCAGAAATTACTTTATAATTTGACAGCAACCATTAATTTGCTGTGATTCTTTTATTTGCCATAACTGAACCTTTAAGACCACTCCTAAATTTGTTGTACTTTATTTTTGTACAAATTTTTAGTCTTGAGATTTTTGTTCCAAGAAAAAACTTTTATTGGCCTGGCCTATCTTTGAACATGGTTTATTTTGCATTGAAAAATTGAAATTTGCAATCAATTTAGTTGACAGGTTTTCATAAATTCTGCCTCTTGATGATCCCTAAAAACCTTGAATAGGTGGTGTGCAGTTTCCAGAAAAAGAGTCAAATGTTGGTCAAATTTAATGGCCATTATTTCTGGTCTATTTAAATGAATAATATAGATAATATATGAGATTTCTGCCCATTGTGCAGCTGTATTTACTGGTTCCAGTTCAACCTAAACTATTTGGGTGGTACAGTCACTTTATTCAAATTTTTATTTTTGACAGATCTTGTCATCATGTCGGCACTTTTGCAGTGCTGCAACTCCTAGAAAAAGTGGCTCCATTGTACAAAAAAATCACTGTAATGTGGGAACAATTGGTAAGTGATGAACCTTGCTTGCAATTAGAACTATTGAATTAAATTTGCTACAAAACAACAACAAGCTGCTACAAAAATTTGTTCCAGTGTTTTGTTTTTCTTATAATGCTCCAAATTTATTTAATTGTGATGGAAAGTCATGATAATCATTTTGAGTGTGTGCTGCTTACTTTGTGGTTGTAAGTTTTGCAGGGGCAACTTATCCAGTCTTCACATATATTACTGAATTTCTTAGGTCATGTTGACCACGGAAAAACAACTCTAACCTCAGCAATCACGGCCGTGCTTGCCAAGTGTGGCCAAGCAGAATTCACTCCTTACGATAAAATTGATCAAGCCCCGGCTGAACGCGCCCGTGGCATCACTATCAACACTGCACATGTTGGATATAGGACTGAAAAAAGGTGTTTGTACTGCATAGCCTTCATATTTCTGCTCATCCTTAGTTTATTTGAAATTTTAATTATTTTATGCATTTAGTTACCTAACTTGAAAACCCTCAATTGATTTGTTACTTTTTTCTGTGGCAGTACAAAAGATAATTTATAATTCACCCGTATTGAGGAAGTGTCTAGAACTTATTGATTTTAGTTCTCAGAATGTCTTCCTAATGAATATTGTGAAGAGGTTTTCCAATGCTCAAATACTTCAAGTTCAGGGTTTTAAAATTAAAACAATCACATATATTCAGCTTGACTTGCCTAACTGAGATGACATTTCTATGTGCAGAACATATGCTCACACAGACTGTCCTGGTCATATGGACTTCATTAAGAATATGATTGCTGGCACAGCACAGATGGACGCGGCTATTGTTATAGTGGCTGCTACTGATGGGCCCATGCCACAGACTCGGGAGCATCTCATGCTTGCTAAGCAAATTGGGCTCAATAAAGTGGTGGTATTCGTTAATAAAGTGAGTGAGTGTCATGGAGTTCAACACTAAAGCCCTCTGACTGAATGTTTGCCAAATATATATATATATATATTGCATTGATGATTTTTACACAACATGAATTTTTTGCTAGTCACCTAAAGTTGCTAATGTGAATTTCATACCAATATTTGTGATTATGATTATAAATGCTCTATTTTGTATATTTTAGTGCGAGATAGTGGATAAAGATGTGCTGGAGCTGGTGGAAATAGAGATGCGTGAGCTGCTTGACCATTATGGCTTCAAATCTGATGACACGCCATTTATTTTTGGCTCAGCATTGCTAGCTCTCAAGGTGAGAGTATACCTAGTGTTTAATTTTGATTCTAGTCTGCAGTATATTTTTCAACTTTTAGTTCAAATTAACATTTAAATTTAAACTTTTAGTTCAATTAAACATATAAGTTTAAATTTTTCAACATGTAAACAACATGTAAAAATATGCATATATCGTCTCTATACATGTATATATTTTCATGTAACGTAAAAACATGTAAACAACATGTAAATTTAAATCTAAACGCACTTTTTTCTCCGAAAAATATTTGGAAGCAGGCTGAATTATGTTGGATTATATAATGCTTGAACATACCGGAACTGATATGTTAATGGTAAGATTATATATTTAATAGAATATTCAATATTTATGACTGTTGATAGTTTGGTTAATCAGTATGTAATAACTATAATTTCTCATATTATGAAGTTAAGAGTGTATTAGGTTCGACAGATTTTTTACATACAAAAACCTACTAAGTTCCATCCTTATAGGATTCCATCATTGTATTCAATAAGCTGGCAATGAAAAACTAGAGAGTTTTTTTAATTTTTCATTTTCTTTTATGAATTTTTCATTATATCTGGTCATAAGCTTTTGAATAATATTTTGTAATTTATCTTAGTGTACCGGTACCCAAGTTGTTAAACGAATTAAATTGTTGTTCAAATATCAATATCAAGTTTTGTCAATTTACTACAGGGCGACACGGAGAGCGAGTATGGGGAGAAGAGCATCCACAGACTCATGCAAGCCCTTGATGACCACGTTGAGCCTCCTGTGCGAGATCTCAATGTGCCCTTCTTCCTCCCCGTCAGCAGGTGCTTCTTCATGGAGAACTATAATCATTAGTTTTTATTACTTTTTAGCTCCTCCTTGAATCTTTTGTTTCACTTCACCATGATAATTTTGCAGTCGTGTCGACTATTGGTGTTGATTGTTTATGCAATAGAATCAACAAGAGCTCAACATTCGACTGAAAATGTTGTAATGCGTTTTTCTTTTGTTTGAGGATGTGGTTATCTGCCAACAGGGTTATTTCTTAAACTCTTATTACCTACATCAAAAATTCCAATTTTTCTGTAACATAAAGTAAAAGTATCATCTTTACACGAAGTTAATATCAACTTTCATCAGTGTTGTTATGAACCAATTATCATAACCATCTCTTGTTTGAAAATATTCAGTACCGTGACAGTTCCCAACCGTGGCACGGTCTTGGTGGGCACAATGAAGCGTGGTGTCCTTAGGAAGGGCCAAGATGCCGAGCTCATCGGCTACGACCGTCGCCAAAAGACCCGTATCACTGGCATGCAGGTGCGATGTACGTATGTATGCTGATGGTTACAAGCTCATTACAAAATTCTCCTCAAACGTGAACCTAATTCCAATAAAACTAACCTGGATGAAACTAGGTACTGTTCCAAGAGCTAGATATTCAACTTACCAAGAGCATACCAGGGGAAACACTAATTCTGTGATCTCATTAGGGAACAGAATATCATCATGTTAGTGCTGCTGTATGCTTATGTTCCCAATGTAAATGTCACTGTCATGTAATTTCGTTCTGTCACTTCCGTCGTGTCACGGAAGTGACATGACGTCTGCAAAGTGATGAGGAGATCCAAGTCAAAGGACATCTGCGGTAGAGTTGATTTTTTTAAAATAAATTTATATCTTCTTGTGAAAATTCATAAAAATGGTAATTTTAAAACAATTGTGGATTAGTATAAACTTTGATCTATTGTATTCGATGTGCTTGAAGGTTTTCCACAAAGACGTTGACTCTTGCCAAGCTGGTGAGAACGTTGGAGTGATTGCCAAGGGCATCAAGAAGGACATGGTGGATCGTGGCATGGCTCTGGTGCCTCTGAAAAGCATGTCTCTGCACAACAGGTGCGGTAGCCTGCGACCATCTTTGTGGAGTCTACATTAATAGAGAATTGCTTGAGACATTGTATTTATTTTTTTTTTCATTCAATTTCTCTAATTATCGTTCATTCGAAATAAATATATAATACGGGTTTATTTTGCCTGCCATTTATAGATTTATCTTCCGCAAATTGTGTGGATTGTAACCATAACGCAATGTATGCTTTCTCCGACTAATCAATGATTTTCAGTCAAATCCTAAGCCCCCTACTGCTTGACAAAGATTTCAGTCATTTGGGTAATGGTGAACTTAGAGTCTTATCATTCCGCATTGTCACTTACAAATCTCGTGATGAAACGGATGTAGTATTGAACGATTTTTGTTGTTATTATATGTGATTTCCAAGTCCCTGGTTTTCTGCTAGTAAATGCATGAATCATTTCTAGGTTTGAGGCTACAATTTATTTATTATCCGCTGATGAGGGAGGTCGTCAGAAAGCCTTGCCGGCACGCTACATCCAGATGCTCCACATCGACACGTGGTGCATGTCATGCAGATTTGATCTCCCTCCCAAGATTGAACTTATGATGCCTGGTACGAATGATACACCGGAACCATGCTTTTCCTTGCACTACGAACAAAGAAAATATGGCTTTATGATAGATTTTCTATTGAACATTTCCAATTTTAAAAAAGGATAAGAGATTTTGCTTTCCAATTGCGTGCATCATTGAGACGATTGACCATACATTTAGTTTTTAAACAATCAGCCAACTGATTAGATTTAATTATCCAATCGGCTATAACAAATCGCCTAGTGTGTGGATGAACTAACGCTTGTCTTGCGTGCGCAGGCGAGCAAGGCGTCGTGCACGGCACGCTGCTGTGCCAGATGCCCATCACTATCGGCATGACGTTCACCGTACGGGAGGCGAAGAGCACAATAGCGACGGGTGTCATCACTAAGTTGTTGCCTAGCGTCGACGTGCCGAAACGTATGCTAGTGCTTGTTGATTTCAACAGAGTAGTGCCTAATAAATAGTAATTGTACAGTACCTGATAATTTTTTCATGCTCGGGATCAATTTTCGTTTATCAGAGAGTTAGCCCAAATGAGGCGAAAGGAATCTAACGTATTTTGAAGTGCAGTATAACTTGCAAGAATGGCGGATGAACGCTACTCGCTTGGCTGAGGCGTTTAAATGCGCATTGTCAACAACTCTAGCGTGTATTTTTCCCTGGAGGCTAATGCAAGTAATTGTCTGGCATTGTCTGGATTTATTTCCTCAAGATGATCGGATGGTTCAATTTCTTGACAGACGTAACTTGATGTAATGGAAGGATCAATAACATACGTCAATAGTACCTACGTATTTATGAGTGACATTTCCATGACTGATACAAAGCCAAGTACATCTGCCGTCAGATAGACACACAAAACATTTCGATGGAACTAAATATCTGAATAAGGAGACAGATCAAACGCCCAACTAATGACGGAATAGGAATACTGACACAAAAGTGTTACCAGCGCTCCATCTAAAGGGATTTAATTATAAATTGAATTATCTTAGAAGACAAGACCTAAGGTAGCGCTACTACTATCTCGACCATATTTATTTGCTATTCAAAGAAAGAAACATAGAACATTATTGGACGAAGAACTTGTCATGCAAGAGGCCAGCAGCACCATCGGCCCGATGCAGCCTCGCGAGGACATCGAGCGTGTATGGTGGGTGAGCGGCTGGCATGACATCCCAACACCAGTTCTCGATTACTGTTAGCATTCTTATTAAATTTACAAAGTTTCTTCTATATGAAGCAAGATATTACTTACTTCAGGAGGAGAGCAAATCCCGAAATAATTTTTCCAAACAAAGATTATTCGTATTTACTTTATTGACGAATCTTTCAGGCGTGATAGACTCCCACCTTTCATGTTTCCAACTAGTGGTATCCCTCCATCGATTATTAGCTTTCGAACTCAATTGTATGAAAGGAAAGAAAACATCGGTAGCATTTAACAAATATTTGGGCGGAAAAAGGCAGAAGTAAAATTAATAGCAAGGAAAATAGATTGAACTAATAGTACAAGTACGACATACACGAGTCCAAATTGTGAAGAAGCGCAATTGACAAAATAAAACATACTGACTAGTACATTTGTAACTTGTCTGGGAAGAAATGGATCATTGCTCGGTAATCGAGACCATGAAATAATTTTCTACTAGACTTCAACGTCAGGAAAGAGAAAACGTGACCAGTCAAGATCAAGAGGGCTTCAGAATACGACATTAAGTGTTAATCTATTAAAAGGAGCTCGAGTAGCACTTCTTGATAAAGTTATTCGTCCCCTACAACCACGTCGTAACATTATAGATAGTATAGTTCAATTTCATTAATATTTAGGAAGATTTAACGATTAACACATTAATAGTAGCCTTTACTTGGGGTATGGTAAGCTCTACTAGAATGGCCGACGACTCGCTACAGGGAATGCAAGCGCAACGCAGCGACGAGCCTCACATTGACGGGTGCCCCCAAGCCGCACTCGGTGCCGCCTCTACCAACACAAGAATCGGTACGCACCATCAAACTTACACGAGATGGTATCACGATACGGGATACTTGCTTGTATTTTTGGATGATAATCATGATAATGGATGATAACGAATAGTGAATTACACGTAAGGTAAATTCAGCTATTTTCTACTAATATGGCGAATAACCTTTAGGGCAATTATTTACTTCACGAAACATCGACTCGTCTCAATAATAATTTCAGGAAGCAAAGGGTAGTCGCAGTTGGAAAATCAAGTTCAAATTCAACCAAGTTGCGTTGGTAAACAACATCCAGAAAAACCTAATCACGATGCAACAGTTTGTAATACTGAAGCCAGACGGCACTCGAGTGACAGTGCAGATGAGACATGCAGCATACATGTCCATCTCGCTCATAAGCTGCGCCTAGAGACAACCCTAGTCCATTACTGTTAGTAGCTGTCCGCACGACAAGGAAAAATTCTAGAGACAAGATCTAGGGAGCTCTAGGTGCAGCTATCTCGAGGGCACCCGCAAAATACAGGAAGGCGTCATTGTTACGGACGACACAAACGCCATTCTACCAAAGGATTGAGGACCAGGAAGAAGTCTATGATAAGATTCATTGGCATCAGAGACTACTCAGCGCCTCACACCACACTCACCACAACAAGCATTCCACCACAATGCGTTAGTAATCGCAGGAACACCAGATCAATCACTCGAAACTACCTAGACACAAGAACTAGAGCTAAACATCGAATATAGTCTGGATTACAACGACTGGAACGTCAGGCTGCATTGTATAAGACACGCGAACGCCGAAGCACCACGGTCGTCGCTGCAGCAGAGCGCTTCTGAAGCCACCGCTTGCCAGTGTCGTCAAGTAGAAAAAATTATTCGCAATTACGAAAAAACAAAATTTTCGGAAAAAAATGAACATTCGACCTAAGTTGAATTTTAGTCAAAGGCTCAGCGCTGAGCTTGTTAATGGCAGAATTTACTACTATTGATATAAAAACGCTTAGTAAAGTTTCTGCTACAGTTAAAAAAAATGTATTTGCGTACATAAACAAACACACGAACAAATAAAATTATGCAAGGTATGTGAAATCATTGTAGGAGTGAAGCGACTTGATGAAGGATGGCAGCGATAGCTATCTATGGGGGGAGACCAGACGAGCTCTGCCGCGTCTCCAGCACCGCAACCTGACGCGCTACCCTACCAAAAAAACACAGAACACACGCCACTGTCATACCTTACATCACAAACATTCTTTGCCCAGTGCCATTCATTCCATACCAATCGTGCCTCGTCATGTCATGCCTGCTCATTAATATCATCTTAACCATATAATACTCGTACGTGACATCGCTAACTCCATGCACTCAGCATTCGCAGAACAGAAACGCACACAGGCACAAAATAACATTCAGCATAGGAATCGCAACACGACATTCATGACCATTCATGCACATGTTCATAAAATATAATAGAGATAAAGCTTTGCTAATTTTTCATTAAGAAAGAAAATTTAAATTTGACAATGGCCTGGAAATAAGAAGCCAAATGAAGAACAAAGACCAGAATGACGCGTTGCCTAATACCACTTTTAATTGCATGCAAGATACTAGTCACTGTCAAAAAATGTAAACTATAAATTAAGTCATAAAACGTGAGCACTTATCACACACAATTCATCTTAAATGGCCGCGCATTAAGCGCTAATGAAATAAAGGTACGCGATAAAACAAAGAAGTTCTGCGCCTCGAGACAGAGAAGTGCACTAGCGAGTAAATCCAATCAAAGTACTTCTCCAAGGCGGATGCTCACACCCTTTATTATGAGAGCGACCTTGAAACAACCAAAATGATCATATACTCTCGACACCAATCAAAAAAATCTTTATGAAGAAAATGTTTGACGATAACGTGCGAAATCAACCACTAGACGAGACACAAAAACGCACCAATTACGAACTGTTAGTGCCCTGGGTATGGACACATGATAACCTGCCTAAAGCAACACAACATGAAAGTTATTGGTTAAGTAATGATGTCAACAGAAAAAAAAGAATATAAATTTCCCATATTAATCATAAGCTGAACATTTTCAGCATCATAAAATCCGAGAAAAAATAGAAAGCAACTGAGATCAATGGTCTAATGGAGCTCATCCAAATAAAGGATTCAGTCTATACGATTTTAATTATTTAAAATTTGATCTATTTTACCAAAAAATGCACACATAAAAACGCAGTATTTGTTTTCGGAATTGAATGAAGAGTATTCATGCCTAAGCCGCATTGTAGCATCGACGCTACATAGGGGCAAGGAATGACAGTCTGTGCGCGTTTGAAGGACAAGTAAACTGCACAAAACAACGGCTTAATATCATCAGCAAATCTCAAAACCAACTGACTGATCTAATAAAAATCAGCTCCATTTTTCTTTCAATAGGAAAATTTATGTGAATTTTAACTAAAATAGAGCAAATTTTCCCCTCTTTGCACAGAGGAAAATTTAGAGCAATAAACAAAGATTTGAGTTGCGCTGCAGTCAACCTCAATACGAGGTTAGTCGCGAGTAAAATTCTCAGAAGCTGGAATTAATATCCAGGAATAATCTTTTAACGCTTGTAAGAAATATTAAAACTAGAAGGGGCTTAAAATCAAGTTACTAATTATGAACATGAACATAACTTGAGAACGCTTATCAAGTACTGAATATAAGACCAATGTTAATTAGCTTAAAATAAACTATAATACAATTAAGAGTAAAGGAAAGTTCGGATTAATATCAATTTAACGTGCGTTGTCATCAAGCACGTACAGAAAGAAACAGAATAAAACGTAGAATTCGTAGAAAAATGGCTTCGCAAAAAGTAGTTCTGTTATGCGAAAGTGATGAGGATAAAATTCGTCTCGTGCTTTTCATCATTAATCAAGTCTTCAGTGAATCATTGCATCTAATCACCAGCTCAATAGACAACTTGTACTACCGATTCACGGCAGTGATGCCGACCACCAATCATTAGAACGTTGAAGATAATGAACGTTTAAAGATATCCCAGATCATCCCAGAACAGTTAGGCATTCGATTCAATTAAGTCTCGTTAAACCTTTTCATGTGTAAATCTTTAAGAAAATTATGACTGGTCTTCATGAACAATTACATGTGAATTGGTACTTTTAATTGTGGCAGACACGGTTACAAATTTGCCGTTATGTTGAAGTCTTCAATAAATGTTCAATTAATAATTCATCTCTGTTCATCGCTATAATTAAAACTAGTTTCTCACGAAAGATGTACTCAAATAATAATTTACTTTTTATATATAATATCCTGCCATCATTAACTCTGAAGAATCTTGAACATGAACACAATAGAAGTAGAAATTTCTTTGTTCTTGATTACGATGCATCATTAGCATGGATGGGAGGAACAACATCGCAGCTTCAGATCAGACACGAGGTCATCTTGTCATCCATTCACATGGAGCGGTAGGGGCCTTGAAGTTTCAAGTACTAGAAATAAGAGATCTAAAATTAGCATGAAATCAGAATTAGATGCATAAATATTCCAAAATAACTTCTCCCTAAAGAAAAGATGACAATATGTCAACAGAGGTAGCATATACCAGGTGAAAAACGTAATAAAAGACCTTGCTATGGTATTCAATTTACGTTACAATTCACTTAAAAACTAGCACGAAGCAAGACACTACCTCTTCATATTCAAAGAATATCAACTAGTTACCACGTACCTGTATGACAAGCGATGGTCCACCATTAACCACCTCCTGGGGTATCTGACTGAGAGGACAGTTTTCGATGGACATGATCTGAAGATTGGTGCACAACGCGAGCTCGAAGGGCAAGTTGTGCAGCATGGGATTGTCATTAATGTAGAGACTTTCCAAAGACTCCAGCGAACCAATCTCTTCAGGCAAGTACCCAAGGTTGTTTTCACCAACACTAAGATACGTCAAGTTTTTAAGATGCCCGATAGCACGCGGCAGGGCAGAAAGCTGATTGCTTTGAACCGTCAGAGTCTGGAGCTCTTTGAGGAAACCTATTTCAGGAGGCAGTCCCTCAAGTCTGTTTTCTTCGAGGTCGAGTGTACGCAGCTTCCGCATATTACCAATGCTGCTTGGAATTTTCTTCAGGAGGTTGTTGGAAAGCCTGAGGACCTCCATACTTATGAGGCATGAAATATCGTCAGGGATTTTAGTGAGCTGGTTAGTGCTCAGATTGAGCTCGACCATGTTCGTCCATGACCCAATATCGAGTGGTAAGGAGGTAAGTGCATTATCCTTCATGTTCAGTTTTGTGAGATGTTTGGCACGCGAGAAAATCCCATATGGGATCTTGTCAACCCTATTGTGCTCCAAATTTATGCTCTGAACATTAGTGAACTGAGAAGGTCCGCCCACCGGATATGAGCAGAAACTGTTACGGGACAGCGTCAGTGATGACAAATAAGTTAAAGACGACAGAAGGCCTTCTGGCAGCTGCGAGATTTGATTGCCCTCCACATTGAACTCCACAAGGAGAGTGCACTGATTAAGACTGGGCGGAATCTCCGTCAGGCGATTGTAGCTGTAGAAAACAATGCCTCATCAGTTTAAGCTATTAGTAATAAAATCGTTAAAATTGTATTTTTTCACAGGACATGGTGCACAATTTAAATTTGAACTTAGCATGCATATTGCCAGAAAAACTGAAGTTTTGATAATATATGTACATCATATGCTTTTTTCGGAAGTAATAACTTAAATATGTACGAGAATTTCTTACATACTCTACATTTCTTACATTACTAAAAACAAACGCACCGGAGTCCCAATGTGACGAGGGAAGTGAGGTTTCCTATAGCAGGCGGCAGAGCGACGAGCTCGTTGTGCTGCAGATGTAGGGTTTGCAGGTGCACGCAGGAACCTATTTCGTCAGGCAGACGCTCCAAGTGGTTGTTGGCAACGTCCAACGTCATTAAATTCACGAGCTGGCCAATACCGTCAGGCAGCTCTCGAATTTTGTTTTCACGGAGTGACAGTGATGTCAAATTCTGAAATTATTTAGAATTTTATTTTCGTGAGTGAAATAATAAGCTGCCAATTCATACCAAACCGACGTGATATTTAAGAAAATTAAAAGATGCTCTTGGGAGTTCAAGGACAATTATAAATGCTACAATTTGGAAACTACAAACGATTTGATAATTACGGAAAGATAGTGGAAGAGCAGCCATCTTTTTAGAGTAACTTTAACGAAACTTTCAAGGACATTTTTTATTTCTTGATTTAATAAATTAAGTTAAATGGCATAAATTAGGCCAATAAATCATGAATTTTGAAGAAGTTAATTTTAGAAGAGCCATATTCTTTACAGTAACATCAACTGAACATTCAGTACACCTGTGAATCAGTTCATGAAAGGAATAGATTCACCTAGCAAGTAATTGTATGCATCAATGGCACTCACAATAAGATTGCGGATGCGGTCGTCAATTGTGCGTATTCTGTTGAAGCGCAGGAAGAGGGTGGTGAGGGAAGGTATCCTGTATACGACGGGAGGAATTTCACAGAGTTTGTTGTGCCTCAAGTCGAGCACTCGGAGCCTCTTGAGGCGGTCCAGAGTGTCTGGTAGCGATGTCAGAGAGTTCTCTGATAGCCCAAGAGTCTGGAGGTTAACCAGACTGCCGATTTCGGCGGGGAGTGTGACCAACTTGTTACTGGAATAAATAAGTAACGAATTAATACCTTTATGGTCTCCTGATAATATCAGAAGACAGTTCATTAAGATTTACAGAAAATCGAGGCTACGAAAAGGGATTTAATTTAGTTATTTGAATGCAGAAGATGACAAGCAACTTTTGTAGAATGAAACCTACATGCAGAACATTCACCCAACATTTACGCAAGACATTGGTGCTATTATTATCAATGAATCTGATTGGGCATGAAGAGTCCCCAAATGAGTACCTGTAGAGATAGAACTCAGAGAGGTGCGTGAGGTTGTGTACAGACGGGGGCAGGTGGCTGATGCTCGAGTTGCTGAGGTCGAGGCGACGGGCGCCTTCTTCTCGGCACCTGAAACAAATAATAATATGGATAAAACGGCCCTTCTTCTTTTCCTATTCATCACAACATATATGGACCTTCATCTATTTAGTAGTGAATAAATTTTTTGTTCACTTGACCATACCGTGGCCTGGAGTTTCGAGACTTAAACATGAGTGTTAAGAGCAAGTGCATGAGTGTTAAGAGCAAGTGCATGAGTGTTCAGAGCAAGTGCATGAGTGTTCAGAGCAAGTGCATGAGTGTTCAGAGCAAGTTCATGAGTGTTCAGAGCAAGTTCATGAGTGTTCAGAGCAAGTTCATGAGTGTTCAGAGCAAGTGCATGAGTGTTCAGAGCAAGTCCATGAGTGTTCAGAGCAAGTGCATGAGTGTTCAGAGCAAGTTCATGAGTGTTCAGAGCAAGTTCATGAGTGTTCAGAGCAAGTGCATGAGTGTTCAGAGCAAGTCCATGAGTGTTCAGAGCAAGTGCATGAGTGTTCAGAGCAAGTTCATGAGTGTTCAGAACAAATTCATGAGTGTTCAGAGCAAGTTCATCAGTGTTCAGAGCAAGTTCTAATTTTAGCAATTTAACCGAACAAATTTTCATACACACAATGTAATGGCACGATTTCATATACCAGGCTTTGTATTTCATACATTGTTGGTGCAAAGTAGCTCGCAGGGCCATTAGATGGAATACTAATACAGCATTTTTTCTTACAAGGAGAAATTCTTGCCCTAATATCCTTATTTGACTCCTCCAAGCATTGGTCAAGGTCGTGTCAGTTTACAGGCTGCAAAACCAGCTGCCGCAGTGATCAGGTTTGTGAAGGTCAATAACGTTTGTAATAGGTCAATATATATATATATATATATATATATATTTTATACTATGTAAAATACTTATGTGTTTTCATCATTTATACTATAAATTTTAATTGTGAATTCATATTTTGATTCCCATATAGCAATAGCATACATAGCATATTTTAACCTAGATTACATTGAGCTTGTTTTTACCACTCACTGTTCACAATCATTGTACGATATACCGCAATGACATGAACAAAGATCTGACCTGCTGAACTCCTTAGAGACATCAAGATTGGCTTGGATGGGCTTAGTTTTCTTAGTGGTAGGTCTGGCTTTGTTATTCTGGTCGATGACGGTGACCGTCTTGGGGCGCGGTGGGTCAGGCATTGAAAGAGAGCCACCTGAAAGCTTCTTGTCCTGCACACAAAAATTACTCATTTAACATCACTAATTATTTCATAAGTAAATGAGTAACCGACCACTTCAAAGAGCAAAAACTTTCTCATTAGGCTTTCTTATTGTATTTAAGGCTTCCAACAGAATTTATTCATGTTTTGCAGTCAGACTTAGGAAGCCTAGTAATATCTGAGTAATTTCATATGTACTTAACTGAATTAGTAATAGCCTTGTTTTAAAATAGAGCTAGCACTTTTACGAGTAAATAGATTTTGATTACAGCTTTACAAGGTTTCAAGTATACCACTAATATCTTATAACCTAATGACTTAATATAAACTTGGGACGAAAGTAAAGATATTAAACAGAATTTGAGGTTGCTGTCAGCCAGGCTGAAGAGCTCCCCATATGTATTTAGAGAGATGATTTACAAGTAATGTCAACTTTGCATTAGGAAGCAAGGAAAAGGACAAGAAATTTAACAAATTCCAACACCACTATTAAGTGTTTGAACTAATGATGGAACTGGTCTGTTCAATATTCTCATATTCTCAACGTTAAATTTGCTTATCGTTTTCTTTCTATTTAAATTCTTGCTCAATTTATAATGTAAGCACTAGTAGTAACCAATTAACTCAGTAGATAAACAAAATTAATTTTATCATCCATCACATCCTGCAGTTAAAGGCAGCAATCTTCAACATAGAAATTAACCAAAATACATACGCCAATTTAAACAACTAAATTATTAGCATGCACGATGTATAAGGACTCTGAGTCTTACTGTACAATAAAACCTCATAAAATGAGATTGAACAAGCAATATGACTATGATGGGAAGCAATACCCATTTCATATAATACTTCACCAATTCTGAGGCAAACGATAAATTAAAAATTTATGCCATTAAAATTAAAGGAAGTCGAGAGCAATGATATTAAAAAGTAAAAGATGGACATCTGGCAAAACACATGCTTAACACATATATTTAATCAACTAAAAAATATTCTATCCAGACAGGGTCATGTATACAAATTACAGAGCATCAAGACTTGTCTCCTCTTACCTTGAGGAGTTGGCAGCATGGACGATCATAGATATATTGCAACATTTCAATAGCTTATTTCCAAAGAGAAGCCAAGATGCAGCAAAAAACGTCAACAAAACATTATACATGGGACAAAGATAGCTAAGCCATTACGGGCAAAATACAAATAATCTAACATAATACAATGAAGTTGATAAAATGAAACAAGTGAATGTAAAGAAGAAATTTCAGTAAGAATTATATGAATTATATAAAATAAAAAATTCTATTTTGCAATGAGCCCAGCCCCATTTGATTTTGACAAGGCAGAACAATAGCATAAGCAGAAGGAAATAATGAGCAGCAATTGAGACGATGTAATCAACTCAGAAGATAACACTTTAACAACATGAATGATATGCAGAGCTTATAGTTAAAAAAAATTAATAAAAAAGGTGCAGTTGAATCCGAAGTGTTTCTCGTAGTAAATGCAGCAACCAACAAGCAATTTCCTAACAAAAACCACGATCTATCAACAGAGATGAAAACAAAATAGTGATCAGAAAGATTGGTCCCAGCAGCTTTAATTATGAAAAAAAAAACTATTTTCAACAATCAAATATCCTAAAAGTTCATTTCCTTTCAGGGACATTTGATCACTGAGCATCATTCAATGAAAACAAAATAAACTACTACCAAAGGTATGATACATATTCAATGATGACAACAACGATGAAAAATCATACACTTGAGAAATAAAATCTACCAAGTCATTCAAAATAGAATAATAAAAATATAATTAGAATGTAACAATAGAAAAAAATGAGCACTTGTACAAACAGTATTTCTAATTCATACAACAAGTAAATAAGTGGTGCTCCAGCAATGGAAAAATTTGATGCAGGGACAGAACATCCCCCCACCTTGATGCCTCGCCCACTGCTGCTGCCACTTATACTGCTGCCTATGATGCTGCTGCTCAGAGGACAGTTAGATGGTGGTGTCTGTGGCGGCTGCTGGTGTATCGTGGAGGAAGCAATCACATTTGATGAAGGAGGTGGTTGTGGTTGATGGTGGAGAAGGGACTGAGTATCCAGAGGAGCAGGCATCTTGGAAATTTTGCCACACAAGGTGAGGTCTTGTAGTTCCAAGCCGTGGTTATCAGTGATTGAAAGAGTGGCAAAGTTTGCTTCTTCCTTTTCACTGTCCGAGATGTACAAGCCTTTTTCACTCAAGGCACCTGATAAGCCACCACAGCCAGACTGGTCTCCATCACCAATACTTGGCAACTGTTTGGTAATCCATGAATTTGCACAATGATAAACCCACACATAGAAGACATGGAGGATCAACACTTCAATCAAGTTAAATTAATAACTGCAACAAAGTGTAACGACAGCAACTTCACAAGGAATAAGCATGAGCCCATACTTGTAAATTATCATCAAACATACAGTAACAATTAACCATGTTATATATATCACCAGGATTAGTATGGAATAAACTGATTAAAGTGAAATTAAAATAATGCCTGAATATTCAATAACTGACAGATAAGAAAGACAAAAAGTGGAGAACAGAAGCTACCCTTATGAACCCATAGAAATGACAGTACAAGAATAGTCATGAAAATACGATAGTATTTTATTTCAAGAAAAAAATGAAAAGCAATAGGAAAAAGGAGAAATAGCTGAGATTAAAGACTAAATGAAGGATTCCAAATAGAAAGTCAGAAATTAACTTTACATTGCCAGTTAAAAAATGATGGTTAGCAAATAAGTTACTAAATATATACTTTGTTAAATTTCAAACCACTATTATATAACTTTCTGATCAAATCCTATAAAAATGTGATCATGGATCAACCCTCTACTACCTAACTGGGTATCAAGAGTTACACAATGCACCAAGAGTGCAGCCCAGTTCAATTGAATCAAACAGGTAGGGCTGTAAAATGAAAGTAGGTACCCAATAACAGCCTTTCCTTGCTTTTTCCTCAATATCCATGATAAAGCAGCAAAAGATGCATGCAAAAATCATATCAAGGAGCAAGTTCATAAAAAAATTATTAGTCATCACAGACATTTATCTAGCATGAATATTCCCAGAATTGCACAATATTTGCAACTGTTCAGTAATAAGTGATGGAATTTCTTTAACTTACATTTGAGACATCAACCAGTAGAACATCCAAAATAATTTGTAATTGGTGATTATCATAGCTTTGATTATAAGTCATACAGCAAACAACTTGCAACATCTTACAGGAAATTGCCACCTACTTAACATTAGAATAGCATCATCAATGATTCATTCATATGGCAGAATAGCAGGAGCTTGAATCCAGCTTCATTTTCAGTATTCATAAAATCATGAAATTCTCATTAATGCATTTTCATATAATCCTCTTTTCATAGAAGAAATATTAAAAGTAGACTTCTGACTTGAAATGCAATTTACCTCTTTCTTGCAAGTTGTGGAAGCAGCAGCTAGACACGGTGCATCTGGAGAGCTATAGTTGGGATTTCCTGGTGATTTGCTGGCCACCTTTCGCATCATCATCCAGCAGACGTCTCAGGATGTCACCATGTGACTATAATAATCTACCACCCATCTGTGTGATAACTTCAATTAGAAAATCTTTTACATTGAATTTCAATACAAACAAACATCCATAACAATTGTGACAAAAAATACTCAGGGTATTTATTATAGTGACAGTTTACCTTTACCATGTTGAAGACTCAGAAAATTAATGTAATTCCAGTACAAATTTTGATTCAAGTTTACTGAATGGGTCTGCAATTGAAGCTATTCCTAGCTTCATGAAATATTATGAGGTTATAAAACCTCTGGCATAAATCAGGAAAGGAAAAATTACTTCATGATATCTTGCTATGCACAGACTTCATAAGTAAGCATTAGTTGTTGATATCAATTAATTTTTTTTTGTGTTATCTATCTCCATGATCTGGATTTGCCATATTATTATCTTTTCACATTATTTCAAGTAAATCTAAACCAAGAATCTATCATTAAAGAAAATCCCTAGTAGATTCACCATATCTTTGATGAAAATTTTTCAAAGACCCAGTACCAAAAATCAAAACATGCACTTTCCTTGGCATGTTCCTTGCTTTTAAATTCTTGGGGAGCTCACAATTTAAGCTGACAAAAGACTTATATAAGTACTTTTATCTGGTGAATAAATAGATCTTATTGGTTCCCAGTCATAAACAGGCACACGTTTGTTAGTGGTATTTGTGCAGTAGCATTTCTGTATGAATTGAAATGTAACTGGCATTACTATGTGTTTTCCAAGCAAGATTTCTTGGTGAATTGTAATACAATGCAATTTTTACAGAATGACAAGCATAAGATTTTTTATGTGTTATTAGCAGTAAAACAATGTAGTAATTTCTGATGGATAAGAAACTGAAAGACTTTCAATAGAAAGTTTTTCATCATGTAATGTGAAGAATATCAGTTGAAATGGGAAAGCATTGATAATTTTTTATTACAATGGCTGACCATTGTAATAATGGCTGACCATTGTAATACACTCTGCTACTATGCTTGTAGTATATTAGTGATTATACATAGTTTAATGTCTGCTGCTTCTGCTGACTGCCATGGCACCTGCTACTGTGATAACATGATCATATCCTTGTGCCTCACATTTGTGCATGTATTTATACTAGTATAGTTAGGCAGTTTTTTAGGGGGGAGTTTTTCTTTTATGCAAGTTTTATTGAAGACCAGAGCGTATTTCTTATTAACGATTTTCTTATAATTTTCTTGATGCTGCTGCAAACAACCTTCAAGAAGGTTGTAGACTTCTTCCAAACATGAACTACATTGGACTTACAAGTACGACCTTGAGCCGACGACTCACATGCCACCTACAATCTGGAGGACCTAAGAACCACATGCGGGAGTTGTATTTTCGAAACGTCGCAATCTATTAAAATGTCATTCGGAAACCTGCTTTTCGATCTCCCGGCTCCAGCTAGAAATTTGGTTTGACTCATTGAAAAGACGAACAAGAAGATTGTAAATAAAAAGCATGCTCTGGTCTTCAATCGAACTTGCATAATATAAGTATGTGCACAAGGATACTATCATGTAATCAGTCATCACACTTCACACAGCTGCAGTAGCAGAGATCAAACTATAATATATCTATGGTTATTAATACGCTACAAGCAATGAAACATGGCAGCATGATGAGAAGATATTGCATTGTTGCAGCTAACCTAACCAGTAGTGATTGAACTATATATTGTTACTGTTAGTGATATGCTGCTACATCTAGATTGGAATTTTCATACTTGTGAATGAAATTTTGTGGCTCTAAAGTGATCAATTATTTATAATTATGATTCTCATGGCCCAATTGTAAAATTTTATAACCAATTAGATAGGCAGCTTGCAGCTCCAAAAATGAATGGGAAAGCTAGCCTATACCTAGGTAGTTGTGGCTTGAATGGTATTTGGTAGATATATTCCAGGCTGTATTTTTAGATATATATTCCAGGCCACATTTTTTGCAACATTTCACCACACACTGCAACCATGCAGATTGAAATTTTGAAGTCATAAAATCCTGCGACCTGCTCACCTGGCACTGGCAGTCTGGCACATCTTCCCAAGGCTAATACCGTCAAACGGGGTAAAAAGGGATGGGCAGGGTAAATCAGGATGCGGGTCCCACATTTTGTAGAAATGTTGTAGCAGCTAAACTAATCAAAATATTGCAAAACTAAAAATAGTGGCGTAAACTTCAACATTTTTACTATCTATTATGTATAAAGCTAGTCAAGGAATCAAACATTTACTATCTCTAAAAAATCGCTGAAAAAAAGTGTGAAAAGTGTGATTTTGGAAAAGTACCTATGCTAAGGTCTGGAGCAAAAAAAAATATTTGCCTTATTAAAAAATTTTACTTACTACATAAAAGTTGCACCAAGGTGTCAGCTTGAAAATGTAATTGACAGATTTTGCCTATCACATTAAAAAAAAAAAATGGCAGCCATTTCCGCGCGATGGGGTAAAAAGGGACACCCCCCGGGGTAATTAGGGACACCCTTAAAAATGCATTTACAGTAGAACCTCAGCTAGCAAAGGCTCCAGACCTCCAGTTAACAAAAAAAATTGATTAACAACAAAGAATTTTGATTACATTTACCTCGCTCAGCGAAAAAAATTCACTTATCGAAAAATTAGTGCATCATCGGTTGTCACAAAATTGTACATAGAATGCTATATATAGAATTGTGCACCAGGCATCATAGAATGAAAAGTACGTAATTGACCTAAACTATGATTTATTTCTCCAAAACATATGATGGTTGTCACTAAAACATTTTCTGTTTCAGGTATGTTTTTCACAATCTTTTTTGTTATAGTGAAATCACTTGACTGAGTTGACTATTAAAATTGTGCGAAATTACAAACCATCCTGTAAGCTTACAGATAGGGTAAACGCAGTATATTCCATCATCGTGGGTAATTCCGTCACCTCTCTAGTTTTTCCTTTATATTAAGCTTTGTTTTAGTTTCATGCATTTGTTGATGGTTGAAATGGTGACGTCATACATTTGCGCTCAAACTAATGCCAAAACACTAGGTCTTGGCCATCTAGTGGGAAAATATTGAGATCCAAAGAGAGACAATGCACGCTACCCAGTGAGATCATCGAAAAATGTGTCAAATTTGACAGTTGACCTTGCTCTACCAAATAGTGAATAACTGTTTGTATGGGAAAAATATTATGGTTTGTATAATGCAGGTATCCAGGATACTTTACTGGTCTACATATAGGACTCAAAAATGAACTTGAGGGAGAGTCTAAAAACTCTCTGCTTTGCCACTATGGTGTCCCGGATTACCCCGTTCCCAGGAGTAAATTGGGACAGTTTTATTTTGTGTCTGGCACCTTACGAATAGCATATGGATTTTTTTTAAATGCCACTAGATAGCCCTCACAAACGCAAAGAGCTATAAAATGAGCCTAAACTTCATGGTAAGAAGTTATTAACAAAAAATGCTCAAAACCATCCCTTTTTAGCTACCCTGTTTGACGGTATTCAATAGGCTTGCAATAAAAACAAAAAATGTCATATAGCATAGAATAGAAATGTCAGCACTGAAGAAATAGGCCCATGGCCTGTTGCTGATTCTTGTAGGCTACTTTTTGTGAATGAATGATAGGCTAGCTAATTAAGTTAAAACTAAAATATGACCAATATTTTGCGTGCATTTTTAAGTCCCATTTCATCCAACAGTAGTTAACACTTTTACAGGACCTATAAGGCTCTATATCTACCAGGCAGTGAGCAGATATATAATCAACAGTTTTCAACACAATAATTACCTCCTACCTATCTCATCTAATGTATTCAGAAGCTATCTCGATTCCCGACTCCCGAGTTTACATTGTTGACAGCTCGTTCAACTGTTTACCAGTTTACCTAGATCCAAAAAATTTAAAGCTAAAGGAATAATAATAAATTGACTTTAGTTAATTCAACTTGAATGTTGAGCAATAAAAATTTTTTAAACTATATTAACGAGTCTATCTTCCTGCATTTGATCTCAATTCAATCATTCAATGTCCGCAGCTTGAAACCGATTAATCGTTCTATTTAAAGAAAAGCATTTACGGTGCTTACCGTAACGATTCAAAACTTCTTGGTAGATCATTCCGCAAATATGACCGTGTGTGACCTACGTTATTATCAATTTAAACGAGTTGCTCTACAAAAAACAGTAGAGCTTCGAGTGTAGTGATCCTAAACCAAAATCCTTGACCACCATGCCAGGGCCTCTCTAATGAACCGAAAATCTTAGGGAAGCCGAAAGTCAGAAACAACTATGATCTTTGAAAGCTTAAAACACTCGATAAACCTAAAATTATCTATTATAAGCGGCACAAGAAGAGCTTTTAAGGCTATAGAGATACATTAGTTCATTTCACGAACATTTATTAATTAAACGAAAATTTTCTTCAGGTAAAATCTTGCGCAGTGCTCCTGCGCGCGAACGTTTACGAAGTTTTTTTTTCTCGACAACAAAAATAGTTCTAAGCAGATGAAAGTTTAGTTTTGGATGCCACAGTAACTAATATTTGGAAAAAAAAAATAAACCAAGGAAAGTCTCAAACGAACCTTCCAGCAATTTCAAATTGTTCAATTACCAACCAACATCAATTGAATTTATTTTGACTCCTATTGTCAAATTTTAAACCCTTCAGCACATTATCTTTTGTTCTTGCAAATGCGGAAGCATTAGTTTAGTGATAGTCTATTTAGTGGTCGCAATAACTTAAATATTTTTTAAAACTTAGAATCTCCATGCATTGGTGGCAATCAAATTGAAGTGTACTATGACCAAATGACATACATGTTCGATAAATCCAGTCCGTCCGACATTGAGAAATTTTATGATCATCTTTCGATTGTAGCCATAGAAAGTTAAAAAATCGGGTGAAAGAACAGTTCAAATTTCTCTATTTCAGCGAGCTATAAAATACATTTAGGGAGGCCAGATAAATCCAATTTTTAACTTTTAACTTAATCGCGCCAAATAAAAAGAGTTCCAAAAAGTCTACACACCCAGCCGAGGTTCACAGTCCTCTACACCACAACACACTAGGTCCTAGTACTAGGTGGGAAAGAAGAGGCAACATGAAATCGTAAGAATTTACTCCAACAAACAATTACAAACTATGATTAATGGTCTTACCAAAACTAAGGTTAATATTTTTATGTATCAAAAATGAAATAAGAATTAACGAAACCGCCAAAATTGATAAATTAATCTTCATTAGGTACTTTAAAAAGGTCATACATTCGAAAACAAACGGAATTCCGTGAGCTTTTCATTTCTTTGTAAAGAATAAAGAAAGGTGCGATGCCCTTAGAAGCTGTACTTTAAAATTCGATAAGATGATTTCATGATAAACTAAGATTAATAAAGGTTACACAATTTCGTTTAGAATCTCCAAAAATTTCTTCCTTACGGTATTGCCGCGTCGCAATAAACCGTTGTAGTTTTGACGACTGTAGATCTGACGTTTTTCCCCCAAAACGAAGAAGTCCTTCAAAGGGAATTCAAGGCTTGAACGATGAGATTCAAGTCGTTCAAGACTGAGCGATGAGCAGTCGTTCAACAAAAAATATTCAACTCGACGTAAAACGGTTTAAAGAAAATGGCAATTTATAACGAAAATAATTAACTGGAAGCACGTTCATTAGTGAATTGAAAAGGCAATGATAATATAAATCACTGAGATCAATCTCGGTTTGATTTCTACGATGTGTCCAGCAGGCTGGACTAGAATCGATAACGTACGAGCTGGACAAGTTAGAGATCTATTTCTGGCAACTACCTAATGAACTTAAGGAATCAGTAATGAGATTCACTGGAAATGAACAGATAGGTATTTGGATTATTTGATAAACAAGTACCTATAGAGATAAAATTGAATTTTTTATCGGAACCATCCAATTGCAGAATCAACACAAAGAAAGCTTCAAGTACGGTATACACTAATTACTATATATAGTTCAATTCAATTACACCATTATGATTCCGTCAACCGGATTCAGTCAACAGGATCTCACGTTTTCTCATTATTATTTTTTAAAAATCAGCTTCTTAGTTAATGAAACCTTCTACGTATCCATTTTTTCCACACCAATGCCGTTCGTCTTCTCCAGATCGCGGCAGCGTTTCTGACGACTTAAGACCGTGACGGCATCATCATCATCGTCGGTCACAACGTTTTACAGAGCCATCCATCTTATCAGGTGACTATACATACGGATCCTTCACAGTACAAAAACCTGCGTGATCTCTATTGCTCTGACGCACACACAACCCTTTCTCTGCAGACGGTAACTGCGTCTCAGCAAACACAGACCGAAGTCACTTCATCATCGGGTGATACGGTCTTGCCGAGCGTGAGTCTCGTGTCGTCCACCACTCTATTCATGCGCAGCAGCACTGCGTCGACCAGCGCCAGCACGCACGCCGTCACGTTGAAGCCTGTCGCTGCCGACGCTTCCATGTACGGTACGCTGCAGAATTACAAACAGTTTTGTAGCATCTTATGTCATCACTTGTATTTAGTGGTGAAAGTTCACGCTGTAAAATTTTTAAATAGTCTCGTCACTTTTCAAACTTCGTGTCAGTAGGTAGTTATTTAGTAGTAATAATAAATCATGGTGGTGACCGTGTTAAATAGGCTAAACCTGAACAAACGTGATTCTAGAAATGGTAGAAATCCTGACACTCTAAACTCTAATTACTGGGCCATATTGCTCCTGAAATCAAAGTTGGTAGGACACTTAAAGTCGTTATTTGCAACTAAAAGTGAAATTGAATCATGCAAAGTATAAAATTGTGTAGCTCGGAATGCATTTCTTTCTTCACAAAGTAGTAAAGTAAACTCCTTCCAGGGAAAACATTTATAATCAAACTTGGCGCCAAATCGAAAAACCCATTTCTGTTCATTCACTAGTAAAATATTGGGATTTATAGCTAGAATTTTATTAATTTGCTAGTACTATTTTTTTCGTTATCAAATTATTGGATTACAGACCTCATAAAACAGCTTTCGAGCGCAAGGCTCATCTGTACTATTATAGTCATTTTTAAACAACATAATTATTTTGGGGGTTTTCATTTCATCAATAAAAATGACAATCACAACTCACGACAGAAAAAAATTGTACGGCAGTGAGTTAGAAAATATTCAGGCAAAATATTATTAAATAATTTCGTACAAATTTACAAAATTAAGCCTCTTACCAATACATAATAGACAAAAAAACGACTTCATTAGCTCTCGATAAAAAATTTGAAAAAATTTTAAATTCCATATTAAAATTTCAACCTAACATATCCAATAGAAGGGTATTCTCTATAAACGAAAAATGGCTACAGCCCTCATGTTATGATGGAACTAATTACAGTACTATGCAAATTACAGAGCCAAGGCAAAGAATTACCCCAGTTTGAAGGCGGCATCCCGTGCTCGTGCCTCCGAAACAACGTGCTGCTCCGTCAGGTCAACTTTGTTGCCCACCAAGATGATGTCGGGGCTTTCGCAGTACGCGTGCGTCTGAGGAGCAGCAACATTGATGACGTGTTAGGGTCAGACACATGAATGACATTTGTACGAGTGATAACGCTGTGTACAGACTCGGATTTATGTGCGTCTGAGGTACAGCAGCATTATTGGCGCGTGGTCAGGGACACATGAATGACGTGGTATATTATAAGTGATAATAGTGCGTTCAAGTTAGCAGTACGCGTAAGTATGAAGCACACTATTAATATTCTGTTATAAGACTTGCATGGCGACAATGGTATGTATTCTTAGGCTGCCACATCAAATGTGAAGACCAATAAAGTCAATACAAGTAAGTACTACACATGTAAATTGTTTATAACATCAAAGAAGCAGGAGGAAAGATGAAAAAATACTGAAGTATGTATATTACATTCATACTCAAAGCAACCTGGATTATGTTGGAGTTATAAATAGTTAACTTGAGCCCATTTCCAAAATTAATATGCTGCTGTTACATCTGCAACATGAGTTTTGAAGTTGTCAGCAAGTAATATTGAATTTCACTCCTGAACAAGAAGGCATGAAATGCTTATTATTATCAACTAAATTGTGATTTTTCCAACTCAATAACCAAAATGTGACTACTAGAGGAATATTTTTGCAAAAAAAAAATGATTAAATATTTGTGCTGTTCCTTCACATGATGACATCACAAAAAAACAGAAACTGCAATGAATAGATTTTACTAAGCAGTGCCAACCGCCTTGTAGAGAGCCTGACCCAGTAAGACAGAATCTTCATTTCCGCAACATTTCCAGTGAAAACAAACAAAATCAAAACTAAAATATAAAAGATAAAATAAATAAATTGGAGACATTGGTAATTTGATACTCAACATTTATAGAGTGCAACATTTGGCTTTCAGAATTTAAGCCAAACTTATCATTGAAATTATGTAACCTGATAAAGATATGATGTCAATGTTTGTTGCTTTCACAATAAGGATCCAAAATTTGACATTACTGCAGCACAAACAAGCAATGTTTTGACTTATTTAGAAAGAAAAATAAGCATCAGGGGCATTATATAGGTAGGTAAAATGAAGAATAAGAAAAACAAAATAGATTAAATTTAACAAATAACCTTTGATAGCAAAGCAAATCGTTTTCCAGACTACTAACTGCAGTGTTAAAATGTCTCATACATCACACATGAAAATTTATGACAGAATTTAAACAATATACTAACACATTTAACAGCCAGTAAATGAATCATTTAAAGCTGTTTTATTTACCTTACAACCATAAAGAAGCCCTCTGTTGGAAACAAAGTTAGGCTCAAAAGCTTTACAGAAAATAGCATATAAGCTGCTTCACAAGGTAAACCTTCACAACACCACTGACCCAAACTTCAAACAGTTAACTCTTATTTCATACCCTAAGTTGCTCCATCCAGCTTCTGATATCAAGGAAAGACTGTTCATTGGTGAGATCAAACACAAGAATAAATCCCATGGTGTTGCGATAAAAAGCTGTAGTCAAACTTCGGAACCTAATGGAAGATGTGTTAGACATGCAAGTTAGATCATATCAATCACAAGACATGCCATACATTAGAGTCAAATGAGCAATAGATTAAAATATACAAGATGAACAAATCTGGGAACTTTTTTGTTAAAATATGTGGGAATGATGTTCACTCAAGAAGTGTAGATAGACGAGGGCTGAATTAGCATTACAGTTTATCAGTACAAATATTTGGACTGAAGGTGTAACATTAAGCAAATTGCTGAGTGAGTCACAAATACATACAGAGCAATAAGTTACAAAATGGAACACAAGATACAGTAATTAAATCTAGAAACACTATCAGAGCTTTGAGCACTTATTAGCTATGGTTATAGTTATCTAATTGAATTCAACATCAATTACCTGATTTTAATGTATCATAAAGTTCAGTACAAAAGTAACTACATAACTCACTTTTCTTGTCCAGCTGTATCCCACAGCTGTAAATGCACTCCTTGCTCACGACCAGTCACTGAACATCGATGTACCTGCAAAAAAAGTAATGTTAATAAAATTGAAGACCAAAACTAAATGTATTCACTATGGATTAAACAAAGAAAACCACACTATGTTGCTGCTTAGTGTGAGTTATCCAACCCTAATTCTTACCAATCTCTTTTCTTTGAAGTCAATGCCAACAGTTGATGTGAACTGGGAATTGAAGCAGCCTTCTGTGAACTGGTACAGAAGGCTTGTCTTGCCAACACCTGAGTTTCCCAGAGCCAGAAATTTGACAAGGTAGTCATGATCATGACGAAGTTGTTCATGAGCGCTTGTAATCTGAAATTATAACAAATTATTTTAGGAATTTTGGTACCTCATGAAATTATTCTGAAAGAAAACTTCTAACTATATATATATATATATTTCCTAAGTTCTTACAAAACATAACATTGAACATTGGACATAACAAAACATTGACATTGAATTGGCAAATCTGTTTATTCGCTGGTCTAATCAGAAACAACATTTGATCAATCAATAATATGTGGATCAGTATCTGACACCCTCATTGATCTCAATACATGCAAAGTCAATACTGAACATTTGCTATTGGCCATAAATGGAAAACTACAATGGTGACCATACCTTCCTAACAATCCTCCCATGCTATCTTTGGGGGGTGGAGTTGGCATCCTTGACTTAAGTTATGCCTTATTTTAGTCAGATAGCTACTCAGGCATGAATAGAAACCAAAAAATGAATAAGAGCATAAGCTATAAGTTTGTGTTAGTAAAGAAAAAGAGTGCAGAAATAGAAAGATCCAATATGTGAATGTAAGTTCTGAGGTAAGTGAGGAAAAGTCCAGCAGTTCCAGGAATAATGCATAGAATGAATGTGTTTGCATGGAATGATAGTGAACAGAACCAATTGGAGGTGGTACAGAATAGGATAGCTAGACTGGCACTTGGGGCCTCAGATGGACAGCAGTGGAGGACCTGAAGGGGGATATGGGATGAGGAATGTTCTGGGATAAAAAATGAAAGCAGCATTGTGATATGAAGTACAAATGGAAAGAATAATTGATGAACATAGGGCTTGTAAATTGCAACTGTGAAACATGAGAGTGAGTAACTGGGAATGTTCAATGCAATAGTACACAAATGTGAATTGCTTAAGACAAGGGCACACTGAGAGTATAATGAAAAGAGTGATGAATGGTTAATGAGGGGCAGACATGGAATAGAGTGAGTGACATGAGAAACAATGTAAGAAAAAATAGAAAACAGAGTCAAGTTTTTTGGTTTAATGGTATGCAAGCAAAGAATGGAAACAAAGGATTGCCTCCAACTGTATCAGATTAAAGAGATGCCCAAGTGCAAATGCAGGTATGGTGTCATTGAGGTATAGAACCAATGTTCTGTGCAAATCTAAATGCCTCAAGTATGAATGAACACTCTAGTGTTCATCCTGTTTTGCACAAAAAGAGAACATGTGTGTATTGTGTGTAATAAGGGTGTGAGAAAAAATGTGGAACACCTCATGACAGAGTGTGACACAGGTGTGGAATATATCTACTTTCCAGTCTGTGACCAGAGCTTTCCTTACTGCCATTTTTGGAGTGGCAAGATTCCCAATTGATAAATTACTTCCCAGTGCAGGGTGAAATCTAACTCAACACAAGTTAAAATAGATCTGTAAAGTTTCAGTGCTAACAAAAATGTCAATTTGGAGCTGCAAAATACTGAATTGAGAAGAAAATTTCCTATCTTGGTGTAATAGAGTTGAGACAGAAATACTGCAATTGCTGTGAGTGATAGTGCATTGTGTATATGAGAGAACAAGAGAAGAATGTATTGAAATCATAGTAAACTTACAAGCAGGAGTGACCCCTGCCATGACAGTGAGAAGAAAAAGATAGATGTTAGTGAGATGTGAGAGTTGAGTCTATGAGGATACGAGGACACATATGATAACAACCATAATAAAGAAATGGGTAAATCAGCTGATTAGCAAAAAGACTGGAAAATTCCTACTGATTACAAAAAATCTCATCACTCCAAAGTTACACATTTCCAATACGGCAACATCTTGCACTTTTGTCAACAATTAGATAGGCAATAATTTGTCAAGCAGCAATCTTGAAGCTTACAAAATACAAAAAATCTCTAATCACAGCTTGAAGAGTAGATAAATTCCATGGCCACTGGCATGGAGTAGTACATCTACCATTTGACCCATGACTAAAGCTTTCATGCCATTTTTAGAGCCACGAGATTCCCGTTAGATAAATTACCTCCTATCTAATTGTTAACAAAAATGCACAATCAGGCTCTAAGATTCAAACTGCATAAAAATTCATTACTTAGGAGCCATGAGATTTCATTCATAAGTAGGAAAATTCAAATCCTGCATGGATGATTATCAATGACCCAGAAGCCAATACAAAAGAAATGAATGCCCGAAATTGTCTCTGGCATGGGCACTTTTGTCTCATTCACTGGTGGCTTATGGCATCTGTATGACTTCACTTTTGATGCATACAAAAATTAAAATATATTAGATATTGAATCAGTGATATTGAACCATCCTAGAATATCCTACAATTAATACTCTAAAGTCTCATGATGTCAGAATATGGTGCGTTTACCCTAGTTGGCGCAGCAGAACCAAATGTTGCCAGAGCATGTACACAGTACAACTGTACAAGATGTGTATCAAAATTCAAACCTACACATCCACTTGTATATTTATTTGATTTTACAATTTTATTATTAATCCATTTTTCTCTGCTTGAGTGCTGGATCCAAATGGAACTGCTTGGCACTTGGCATTAATGGGTTAACACATGCAGCACAGGAAAACACTTCCTTTTTTATTTGCAAATTCCAAATTCCATGACTTTCCATAATCCATAACCTGAAATGAAATCCCATCATTCCCATGACTTTCTAGGCCTGGAAAAAGAAAAATCAAATCTATGACTTTCCAGGTTTTCCATGACCAGTACCAGTACACAGCACACACCCAATAGTGATTAGTGAATAGTGAGCGCAAAATGACTAGCACTGATCAAGTGATCGTTGCCGCCATGCCATGGTCAGGAAGATGTGCCAGGTGCGCGGGAATTTATTTTGTCATTTTAACGACCTGCGGCGTGCGCCGTACTATGCTGGTAAAAAAATGTGCCGTGCACCGTACTTTAGAAAGCTAAAATAGTTCTACTATTTTAGTCGACAATATACGCGAGTATATTGACTACCGTAAAATGGGGTAACTTAGACCGGTGGGGTAACTTAGACCACTTTTCGTTTTTTTTTTACAAAAACCCCCACAACTCAAAAACTATTTGACATAGAAAAATTTTGTCAATGGGCATTAAAGGCCTAATACTGAGGCTACATAACACAATAGAAAGATTTAAAAAGTTTGCATATCTAATAGGTTAAAAAAATTAAATATATGACCCATGAAAAAAAGCTATTATTTAAAGCCTGTCAGAGTACCCCCTCCAATTTTTTTATTTTTTGGTTAAATAACTCCAGGTTTTGATGCATTGTAGTAGAACTCTTCTAGTTACATATGCAAATGACAAATTTTAGGAAAGTGTCATAGTTTGCAAATGGGGGGCGCCGCCCCCAAATTGAACGTACGGTAATCGTAAACTGCGGCTATTATACATACGAAATGTAAACAGACAGTGTTCAGTGTTGCCATATGACTTTGGAGAAAATTTCTTCTAAAATAAAGTTCTAGATTTCTCATTCACCAAATTTCCGCATCAAGAAAAATCATATATTATTGAAAGATAATTAAAGGCATACTGTACCAAGTAACGAGAGTATTACGTCTGTTCCTCCACAAACTGCTCGTGCGCGGCAGCGCGACATAGAATTGATGGCCGGGAACTAGAGGGTTAAACTGTGTGGCCTGCATAGTGGCAAAGCAGAGAGTTTCTTAGACTCTCCCTCAAGTTCATTTTTGAGTCCTATAAGTAGACTAGTAAAGTATCATGGATACCATCATACCAGCATTATCTTACATAAGAAATTGGTTTAAGTCTTGAGTCAATGAGGAAATTAAAAATGAACTGATTCTAAAAAAACACTGGTTTGTCACTATGGTGGGTTGGTGGCCTGGGCCACAACTTTCTGGGCCCTGGCACATCATGAATGTAAGTAGCACCGTAGCAGTCTAGCAGCTTTGTAGTTAATGTCCTAATTAATGTGTTAATCTAATTATCTAACCAATAAAACCATGCAAATCATAATTATAAGTACCTATCATACAATCTTTATTGACAAGCAGCAGCCGGCAAGGTAAAACTTGAATGCAGTAGCTGTTCATTCTGCTGAGCCTGAGTGTGAGTGGCAACTTACAGTCTTACAGATGTCCTAAGGTGACAGGTGTCATTCAGTCATTGACAGTAATTTGAGTAAAGCCTTGATCTTGAAAGACTGAAACTGAAAGTTGAATGGCTAAAGAGTAAAGTAAAGGAGACTGTATTCTGTCAGTCGGTGTCAGAAAAACATCTTTCTAATTTCTGACCCAGTTATATTGTAAATTGACAGGGTTAGTTATGGGATAAATCTAATTAAAGTGAAATACCATAACTATTCCTTAATTACCATTCCCATACATCACTTGCATGAAAAACTACTCACCATTCTCGAGACGCTTGTGAATTGCTCATGCAGTTAGGTAACGAACCACCTGCCACTGCCGTCTGCCAGGCTGCCACGGGCGACAAGCGGAGTCTCGACTCTCGACCTACAGAATAACAGATGACAAGTTGACGGCAGTGTTGCCAGCTTTGTTTCTTGTCGTGAAGACCAGCTGATTGCCCAGCTCAAAATACCGGAAATATACCATAAATTCTATTGTTGAAAAACAGACTAATACTTCCAAATTTAATTAAACTATTCGTCAGAAACGTTGGTTTGGTTAGAATAAAAAAACAAATTATCTTATGTACTGTACATTCATCTGGCTTCTCGATAATTAGCTAAATTGAAAACGTTATGTTATTTCCCTCGGTTTGGAACATTTTGACACTTTTCTTTTCCTGTGTTTGATTACAATGAAACTTTTACTGAAAATGTTTTCCTTTTTTACCACAGTGTGGCACTTCTTCCCCTTCGCTCAACAAGAGTAAGCAATGGAAACAGGTCATCTTCCTTTTGCTTATTTCCGTACATGCTTGCATATTGCATTTATCTAATATTTCGGTTTTGATCACATGTTGCGGTTGAGCAGATAGCTTTTGGTCCGAATAACGGACTCCAGTGCCTTAGTTGAAATTTTATTTCATTGCTTGTTTTTCACATAGGTGACTTGTGAAAACACTCGCTCCACGAATGCATTGGAGACAGGTCAAAGTAGACAAGTGATGCAGTATGCAGCCAGTTATATGAATTGATGAAGATTTTCAAGATCAATGAAATATTGAATGACACCCCAGAATTCAAGTAGCTCTCCAATAAGTGGCACTCTAGAATTCAAAACCACCAAACTAAAATGATTAAGCTTGCGTCGCTGACATCGGTTCGACCATGGTTGAACTAGTAAAAGGAGAACCCATGAGAAGCTCATTTCGCGGATGGAGCTTTTTGTTCGTATGTGACCACACTGATCTCAGTGACGTCACGGGCATTAACCAATCACAGAAATGCGATCGAACCAGTCAACCAATCCTTCATGGGAATGACGCGATTGTTTACGTTTCTCGATCTCAGAGACGCAACAAGAAAGCTGAACTGAAAGGCGGGACTTCTCGTGGGTCAACCTTATATAGTTCAACCATGGGTTCTCAACCTTACTCGTCCTAGAGGCTAGGCCATATCATCACTGATCAGTAATAAATCAAGGATCATCACTCTCGGGCTTATATTGCACTAAGCACTTATGTTAAATGATAAATGTTAACAATTAGATTGAGGTTATTTCATCAAGCGGTAAACTTGCGGTTCCAAAAATGGCGGGAAACCTCTAGTCGCGCCGCTCTGAAGGTAATCTATGTATATAATCCGAGCCTACGCTGGGTGAAGTTCAAACTTCAGAGTTGGAACTTAATGCAGTAAATTTGCAAGTAAGTCGGAAAATACCAGAAAATACCAGATGTAAAATATCCATACCAGACACCTTCTGAAAATACCTGATTTGTGAAATCTTGTATAGAAATATACCATCTGGCAACGCTTGACGGCTTTATTCATGCAGAGACCTGCCGACATGCGATCTTCAATCTCCAACCGGCAGCATTGAAACGAATGCTTACAATTTTAATCATTTATTAAAATTTAAAATAGCCAAACAATCCCAAAGAAATGCGTGGATGACTTCTATAATTTGGCCTTTGAAATTGATTGTTGCAATAAAATTGGAATTCCAACTCATTTTCACACATCATTTATTCGTCGATAGTCACGAACAGCTTTATTTTCCTTCAGTAACGTCACTGGCATGTCTAAGAAATTTAACAAAAATTTAAAGTCAATTCGGAATGTTCTGATCGAAGAAAGTCTAGGAATAAACAAAACACCAAATTTTCAGTATATAAGTGAATTTAAGATTTAACTAACTAGTTAATGTCCATTAACAGTTTATGCTGCTGACTAATTTTGAATTTACCACACTTTAATTATATACCATGAGCAAATCTATTGAGACCGTCGATTAAAAAATTCATTCAAACATTTATTTTAAGTTCAGATAGGTCTGCTGCTTAGAAGCATAGCATATTTTTTCAGCAGTAACACCGCTGTTCTAGCTTATGGAGCGACGATGCGGGCCTTTTTCGGTGCTCCCGGAATCTACGCTATTTAGTTCCGGGTCTTTCGCATCGCATTATGCTCATCAGTTTACGATTGAACATGTTGCATCAAAGGAGTATTGAACTTAACAGAAAATAAACGAACAGTATGAAATTTATGTGGACTATGTTAAATTTTTCAGCACACGAATTGCTCCATTTAAGATCTGTATGAGCAACCGTTATAATGGTTGCTCCGCAAGCAACCGTTTGTAATGGTTGCTAGTAGATTTCGTTTTTTCGTTATTCTTACGATAATTTTTGACGCGCGATTGTCTGTAAATATTGTTACGCCTTTGCTTCACTTTCATAGTACTCTTCATTGTTCACGTCAATTTTGCTCTGTGACGTATTTAATTTATCATTAATGACAATGGTTGTATATCGAGTTAACATTTTTCCATCAAATACAGCCCATGCGGTACCCATCACTCATGGGTGAGGTCACAGAGGATCTCCTATTTCAAGTTTGAGTGACTCAAGGCATGCGACTCACATGCCCTAGCTGCCGTGTGCATGTTAATACTCGCTTGCCTGAACGCTGCTCTCCCATTCTCTACTCAATCTTTGAAACTTCCCTAGAACATACGCATCACCAGAGTCGTGTGTTTAAATTTAATCCTTATACCGTTGTCCTTTATACGATCGCTTGATGCTATGGAGACCCTGCATGAATTATTGACCTCACAATTTTTTTTTGCCAATTTGTGGACAATTACTCGGGTATTATGTTTCGAGATGCCGATGATTTAATTTTGTTATAAATCGCTGAACCATCAATTACAGTTTGGATCCCGGTCATCGATTCATTTCGCTCTACGGAAGTGATGGTAAATGATCGATAGAAAATAAAAGAACTCGAAATTTCGCTGCAAAATCTCATTGCCCGAATTATTCAATTCTATTAAAAAACAATTCTCCTCTTTGTGTGAGTTGTTTCATATACGAAATTGTATAGCAGCATGACTTGAGAATACGCTTGAAATTTTTTGATAAGGTTATCATGAACAATGGTTGCTGAGATTCACAAAAAATACAAGAGTTGCAAAAATCATACCTCATGCGATTCTGATGGAATTTCCCAACTGCCAGCCATATAATACACAGGTCCTTTTCCTGCATGACTGGCACGTCGATGATCGCTTATCGTTTGGGCGATTTTTTGTTCTGTCAGATCCTCAGCAATGTAGCAGTCGCATCCCATTTAAGGGATTTGCTTGAAAATACGAGTCTCAATGACAGACCATAGGCCGATATCTACCGGGAAATCATTCTAGAACTGGACGAGCATAGTTTGATATTCCAGAGTAATTTATTTTACGTATACAAAATAAAGCAAGCATTCGGCATTTCACCTGAAGTTAGTTTGCTTTATTTAATGTAATAGAAACGTGTTGAATACGAAGTTTAATTTGGGCTTATTTATTGCTAGTTGGCATTCACTTCATTTATGAACATTATCTACATTGTTAGTAAAGTCTTTACAACCTTTGTGCCTATAGGACACTTGTCGCCCATTCAGAGTTAGCTGTACATGTGATCGAGTATTCGGCGAAATTCTTTTGTTACTTCGGCTGAAAAATTGGCAGCATAACATTGTGTTCCATAAAAGTTTTGAAAAGCAATTTAACCTCATATTAACTCTGATCAAATCCGCTACGTCTTCGTCACGTTAACGAGTCTAATTCAAGTGCTCCGAACATAAGTACCTCATTTTGTCTCTAGTATCTTATGCATAGGTACATTTTCGTATATCCTCTGATAAATACACCAGATTATTTACGAAACGAAATGACGATATAAACGAAACTATATACGAAAGTTAACTTTATTCAAGCCCTGATGGCTGTTGCTCTCTCGATTGCAGTTCGCTGGAACTCGATTCGGCAGTTCCGGTGGCCGGATCGAATCCGGAACACAGGAAGCAGCTGCTCCGGTCAACATCGAGCGCTTCAACAGCTTCCGCTCGCGCGTTCCCATTCCTGTCGGCGGGAACGTGCCGCTGTCTAAAGGATCGCCTGTTTCCTGTTTGTCAGTGATCCTCGACTACAATTATTTCTCTTCTGAGGATCTAAATAAATGATATGGCTATGCCAACTTATTTATTTTACAGCCCGGATCTTCTTCATAAATACTCCTTCTTTATAATTACTTCTTCTTCATAAATACCTCTTTGTTATTAATAATTTACTTCTGTGCGTGAGTACCATGGAATGGTGAATAGAGTACTAAACAAATTTAGCGCTTGGCCAAAAACTAACCGGTTTAAAATAATTGTAAGTATTGCTGTTACTAACATTTGTTGTAAAAAAATGATCGATGTTAACTATTTCAGCAAAATAGCAATTAAACTAATATAAAATCTATTGAAGGGTTCATTAGCAGTGATTTCGGATACGCGCAAGAGACCTCCCTCGTGGGAGGGGCCATTCAGACAAGCATTGTGTGCTCAGCTGGACAAACAAGCGAGAAAATCGTAACGTCACGCAACGCTTTTCATGCATGCATGCCACTGTTAAAAAACTAGCGAAAACATGAAACTACGAATTCTATGAAAAAATTGACCAACAGTTCATGCATCCAGATATTGTAGTCACAATACCCCGTGCCTTTTGAAATATTGGCATCCTAGCTCCATGTTACTTTCTGGCGGGAAACATTTGTATCGTTTAAAGTTATCATTTAAAAACTCACAAGAAACGGTCAATGCTATTTATGACGTCATGAAATACAACAATCAGTGATCCATAGTCCACTTGTCATACGATGCGCTCTCGTTGAGAGATTTTATAGGCTCTTAAAGGGATTAACCGTGAACAATAGATGCTTCATCACGTCCTGGGTTGCTGAGCGCTTAATTGCAATCAATATACTGGTCGAGCTCGTGGATACAATTATTGGATCGACGAATGGATTTATTATGGAGAAAAATCACAAGTTAATTTTTTCTGAAGTGTGATTTGAGAAATGTACCTATACAATTAATT